TCTCTCTCGGATCCGTCTATTGTCAGAACAATTGCAAAATTCGTCAGCTATGTAGCTGAAAAGCGACTTTACTAGCGGCAACTGATCAATGTCAAAGCATTCATTTATGAATGTTTTCTGTGATAGCCAGTGGGTTTGATGAAACGGCATGTTACCCGTTTTGTTAGGCATCAGCCGACGGTTCTAAACCATCGAGTCGTTGGAAAAAACCGATACGTTACGACTTATTGTTTCAATACAATGGCAAACTGGTGCTAGCATATACCAAGCAAATAATCTTCATTTTAAGTAACTCTCGAAACAAGGAGCCATCGAAAGCCTTTTCTAAGGCTGGTTGCTGTTGGAACGTGCTACTTCTCAGGAGCTCTATCTTTCACAAAGGGCAACTCCGAAAATGACATAATTTTTAATGCTTATCTGACAGCACCCCTTAAAACTCTTCCGAATTTTCATTGGATGTAACAATAAATTAAGCTTAAAACAGCTGTTACCTTGTATGCAAATGCAGGTGGCTGATGCGGATAATTGGATGCCTGTAAAATACGATCAACCAATGCCTGGCAGAACTGTGATGGTAATGATAACTGATGATTGTCCGAAATGAACGACGGTGTCAGCAGAGCATATTTGCCATCCCTAAATAAAAATTTTCATATTTTCCGGAAGTGCTCTAATACCTTAATCTGAAAAACTGTCTTTGAAAATTAATTCATTTCATCCAAAAATTAGCTTTTATAAATCTTAATTTCAACTAAAATGAAATCTAATAAATCTGAATAAATAATAAGATAAATAAACAAATAAACAAACAAATAAATAAACAAAGAAGTAATCAAATAAACTAATAAAACAAATCTAAAAGTGTACAGCCAAACGCTTTCCACTTCGAATTACCGATGCTTTCCACATTAATATTAGTAAACCTCTTGCCTACTGGAACTTTGCCAACGAATAAAATTAAAAAAAAGCATTTGCACTTACCTATCCTCGAGTTGTCCGCAAATTTCGAGTACAAACTGTCTGGCACGAGCTGTGTGAGAAATGGTCTTATCCAGGCAATACAATACGCTGTACATGAAAGCTGCTGGCTGAGCTGAAAATACATTTGTAGTTTTCGCCAGATATAGCAGGGCTCTTGACTTCTGAGGTTATGCGGACAGGGAGGGCGGTGGAGGGGAGGAGAGGGATGCGTGAAACAAAAATTTTTATACTGGTAAAAGAGAAAAAGTCACAGGGGCAAAACAAATTTTTTTCATGTATTTTAAATCTGCACTACCCGTACTTACATTGCATTTGATCTGGCACTATTCGCCAAACCATTTTACGTATTATGTACTGTAATTATGATTATGTTGTATTACTGAATTTATTTTAAATTTCTGATTATAGTCCCCTAACAATAACGCATTTTAGCGGAACTATTGAAAAGAAATAGTTACGGTGATAACGATAGCATGGCTTGAAGCACATCATCAGTGTCGAGAATAACTGGTCAGCAACAAGCGTTTCCATCGCTCTTATCAATATAATGTCCACCGCCTACAATTACCACTGTTCACTAAATCTGAGAAAATATAAATCTACAAAAAAGCTGGTGGACGAAACTTTTATTTACCTTTCTTTTAAAAACTGTCAACTTTTCTCAAAACAGCCATTAGCTTGCTTGTAAGTAACCTTCGAAAGAAGAACTCATCGAGAGCCATGCTAGCGAATAGTTGCTTTAAAATCCGTTACTTTCTCAGGATACTTCTAACACGCTTTTACCTCCCAGTGAGACCAAAAAGAGAGGGATTTTGACTTTCCGAGTTTCAAAAAAAAAAAATGTTTGGAAGTACCGGAAGTATTCTTTCGGCGATGTTCCCA